TCAGAGCGTTTTGCGAAAGTGGTTCGCAGATTGAAGACTGGCCGAAAAGATTGCAGTTCGATCAGAGATCTCGTGTCGAAAGTGCTTTTTATAGATCTCTTTCCATACCAGTTTTACTAGTGGTATTACACACTGAAGAGTGTCAATTAAATCAATATTATTAGCTTTGGTATGCGGAAATAAATGCATCAGTGAATTAGACAAACCACATAAAAGCCAATGCTGTCTGTTGACCATTTGACAAGTGCTTTGTGTGCTATTGATTTAGTAAACACTAAAGAATTAAATATATCTTTACTTTTTACCGTTTGTGGTTTATTTTGTTTTGTTGAAAAATCTTAAGCAAATTGAAATCACTTTTATGCGCGAAGATTACGTTAGCTAAATGAACCCCAATGGCATTATCTTTAATATAACTGGTTTTTAATGGTCGAAATAAACTACACTAGTAAAAACATACATTTTTTTTTGTAATGATCCCGAATTAAATAAATTAGTTTATAACATTGGTAATTTATGTAGTTCAATTCTCATGCCAAAAAACCTTTTACACCCCTTGGCGTTAAGTTCTGAGATTTATCGATATAGTTTACGTACAATATTGAACCCCACACTTTGTAATTTTTATTTCAGTCACATGCCAAAGGCCTTTGTCTGGAGTTTCCATAAAATTATTCAGTTTCGCCTTCTAAGCAGTCATGTCCACATGCAAAACATGCAAATTTGCGGCAGTTGCAGTTGTTTTGCTCGGCTTTTGTTGGCCTTAGCTGTTGTTTTTGTTTCTGTTGTAGCTGTTGTTGCTGCATCTTGGCCTAATACAATTAGTCTTGTGTAATACGCATGCCTTATGCGCTGCCAGCGGTTTGCCGGAGGAGTGCCGAACCCGTTAGTGGTCGAGTACATATACAGTTATCGGTTGGACCGACCGTACAGTGTAGTATAGTATATACCGCCTCCCTTTCTCCACTTTACGCAATTCGCGCCACACGCCGCACATGTGTTTTGCGAGTCGCCACCGATTGAAATTGCCTTTGGGAGCGGTGCGCGAATTGATTGTGGCCAAAACGGTGGCCGTTGCAACAACAGCAAAAGCAGCAACAACAACAACAACAGCTAAAACAGCAGCACTAACAAAAGTTGAAAGCCTTTTAGGCCGGCTCTCCCCATCGTTGCGCCTCGATTTTTGTCAGATTTTGTGTTACTGCAACTCCGATTTCGACTAGCAACTTGTTGCCAAAATGGTCAGTGCATAACGGTACACGACATGGCCGCTGAACTAATTAATGCCACAATGCCTCGGTTCGCAAATCCCAATCCCAATCCCAATACCCTGCCAATGCAAGTGAAGTTGTCTTTGTCCGATCGCCCGCCAATCCGATTATTATTCAATAAAATGCGCCGGCGAACAAAGAGATGGCCAGCACTTGATGACAAATGCCTGGGCGGCCTGGTTTGGAAGAAAAAAATATAGAAAAAAAAAAAAACAAAGGGGGAAGGGCGCTCTCTTTTGGGCCCCAAGTAGTTGTTGGCCAGCCCAAGAAACGCAAACTGCAACTCCAATACGGCTGCTCCCAGTTTGATCCTCGATCCGCGGCGGAGCCCTTAAAGCGAGCCGCCTCTATTCGATTTGCTCGTTTTGTTATCGCCAGCTTTTAATCTGCCCATTGCCGCGAAGGTCTTGGCCACATCCACTCCTCCCCTTGCCAATTTTTTCACGGAGTTTAAGCCGGGTTCCTATTCCAGCTAACTCGGAGCGGGCAATGCAATGTAAGGGGGCAAGTGCAGGAGGCATTGTTAAAGCCGACGACCTTAACCCCAGGTAACCTTGCAGGAACTTGAGGATAAGAACGGCGAACACTTATGTTCATCAAGTATTATATGTAATATTTAAAATTACCAAATATATTTGGAGGTGAAGCATACCTTTTCTTCCTAAAATTACTTTTACAACCCATCTCTATTTAAACTTGAAACTTTACCCCTTATGTAATCAAATTCTTTTATTCTTTTTCCTATCCAAGAGACCATAGATCAAGTTTTTAAGGGGCCCCCGAAACTTGTGGGGCAAACTTCTCTGGGTCAACAGCAACACTGAGTGCCATTAATGGGTTAAGAGTTCGGTGTGACTGAGGGACAGGTTGGCGGGGTTCACATTCAGGTTCAGGAGCATCAATGTAGCAGACACGAGTCTGCACCGAGGCAGCGGCTCGATTTTATTAGCTTAGCAAAAGGCTTTGATTGTTCTTGTTTCTTCCCAATGTTGCTGTTATGGCCTGTTGCGCTTGTCTAGACGGGCAATTTTTCACACACACACACACACAAAGTCGGTTTGGCCGGGCCAACAACACAACATACTGCTCAAGACACAGACATTGGGGAGCTCGATCGGCTGGACTTGCTCTAAAATTGGCATTTTTCGCACACATAAGGCAAAAATGTAAAGCGAAGTGAAGTCAAGACCGGGCCAAAGCCACCACATCGTCCGCAGTCGAAGCGGTTTATTTGCCTTGTGTGGCATCAGCTTCATCATCATCATCATTGTGGTCATCCCAGAGTTAAGGCCCCCACTTCTTCGCCGACTCCAGCCTCTTAACTCTTAACTCAGAGCCCAGGCCCGCTGGCATAATGTGGCGCAGCTTGGACATGGTCATCGATGGAGTCTCGAGTTCCCCAGTTCCGAGACCCAAGTCCCAAGTCCCGAGTACGATTCCGATTCCAAGTTGGAGTCTCGGACTTTGGCAATTTCTTTATTATTACGAGCGTTTCGTTGGTTGTCCTTTTAGGCCCGGCTGTCACAGATCCGCTGATCATTATTGTTCCTCCATGTAGTGGACTCTCTGGCTATCGGGCTCCTCCGCCTGCTCACAATGCAATGTCAATGTTTTGTCTTAATGCGACAATGCTCGATCGCTGGCTTCGACTGTCTCGCATGTTATTTAAATGGAGGCGGCCGCGCTGGGGAGTGAGGATTTTCAGCCTCCCGGGTAAACAATTTATTATATTTATATGGCCAGTTCATACGTTCGTTCTGGCCATAAATTAAACGATCTTGGACATAATGTGCTGGATGCACAAGGTCGCGTGTGGTTTTTATTGTTACTCCCTGTCCAGTCGGCAATTAAGCGAGTTAATCGCAGTTCGATGATTTGTCAGATTCTGCCCACGGAGGGTGGGAGCCTGACCGCTTGGATAAGGTTACTCCCCGAGCTCCATCACCGAGTGCACTCGAGTGTGAAGGTTTTTACTCCGGCGATGAGATCATCCAGTGGCAAATTCTCTGAATTCTGAGGTTGAGAAAATCAGAAAATGCATGTTGTAATCAATTCTGACTCCATATTGTGTTTCATAGGCCATTTGAATTCGAATTTATCGTGAAAATAAAATAACCTATAGTATCTTTTAGTTTCCAAAATTATAAATTTTCATTGAAAATGTAATGTTTAATAACAGCTTAGTAAATCAATTAATTGAGTACTCAGTAAAATAAAATCCTTATAAGCTACACTATTACTTTTCGCTTTTGTATAAAAATATAAAAACTTTATTAGCCATCAACAACCCATAAACATAAAAAAGATTATTATTAACAAACTCCATGAAGATTTGGCTTAAACAATTATTATTATTCGTCAGGCTTTAACAACCGACTGCACAGCTTAATTAAGACAAAGCAAGAACCAACAAATCCACTCGTTAATCTGCGAATATTTATTGAACACTTTGGATTTCTTCGGGCTGAGTCAAACTTTTACTTTCCCTAATGCAGACAAACAAAAGTTTCGCTTTAGTTAAGCCAGCCACGCCCCCTCAGCAGCCGCCCACCGCCCCCTAGGAGGCCTCCACTTCTTTCTCGACTGCTGTGCGAGTTGGCAAGTTATAATTTAGCTTTCAGCTTTGGCTGCCGAAGAACGCTGAAGCGCTGAGCCTCGGACTCTCGGTCTCGCTTGGCTTTGCCCGTAAATTATAGCCTCGTCTGCAGCATTTCTATATATTTGTTTGTTTGTATCTGGAGAGAGAGAGATGTATTCGTTCGTATCGGCTTTGTGTATTTTTAGGCTGCATCTTAATTCCAGGGACCAGTTCGCCTACACGAGTCGCCGAATGCCGAATGTCGCCTGTTTTGGATGTATTTCGCCTTTATCTCTTCATTTTTCTCGCGTAATGTTTTTTCTGCACTTGGCATTCGGTTAATTCTCCTTTCTGATTGCCTTTTAATAAGCCAACGCCAGCCGATACTTGACCAGTTGAATGTGGGCTTTATGAGTATTAAATTTTTTGTGCTGCCCCTTGGTTTTCATTATGAGTATTTCTCTCGTCGATATTATCTTTGTTGGCTTATTGGTGTTTTATTTTTTTTTTTTGTTTCGTTTATTTATTTTTTTTTTTTGGATTTTGGCGTGTCATGTTCCTTTCCCAGCAGTTGTGTTTGTGTAGGTGTCTTGTTTGGTCTTTTGTTTTTTCGCCGCGCTCGTTGGTTAGTTTGTTTAGTTGTTTGTTGTCATGCCTGTGTAAGGCAACTTGCAGGGGCAGGCAAGTTAATGACTAATGTGCTAGGGCTTTCGGGGAATATGGCATTTACTGTATGGCATATGGCATGCATATAAGGCAGGAAGAGAGCGTGTAGCTGAGTGAGTGAATCATGGCAGGGCCGCGCTTCCAAAACTTCATTAGTTCGCGAGTTCGTTGCCTCAGTCTTTTCATATTTGTCCAAAAAAAAAAAAAAAAAAAGGCTTTATCGCCCGCCCCCGTCAAAGCGTAGATCGTTAAACTTGGCCATCACTCCAAATGGCCACAAATTGTGTGTATGTATGTACTCCACGACCAAAACGAGGTCACTTTAGCGGGTTTTGGCAAAGTGAAAAAAGAAATAAATACTTTTTGTGTTTCATTGCGCGAATGAGAATGACATCATGCAGCTTCATGGGAGCTTCGCAAAGTGTTTCGCCTTGCACTCCCAGCTTAACTAAATTTTTATGGCGTTACGTTTAACTAGGGCTTACCTTTGGCCTGGGCTAATCCGCAGAAGAGGGCCGCCAGAAACAGAGAGCGCCACATTTGCATTGAAAGCAGCATTTCCCAAAAATTTCGGATCTAATTGGTCGGGGGAAAAACGGAAAGACAAACGGCATATTATTATAAGCATTTCGACCGAACTGAACGGCACATGCTCCACAAGCGGGCCAGCATTTTATATTCGTTATTTGTATTCTTGGCCTTTTTGTCGTTTTCACAGACACAAATATATATATATTTGTATATATATAAATACTGCTCGTTCACCGCAAACACACACAGCGAGTTATTATGAAACAAAGCCAGAAGAGAATGCCCGTCAAGTGGCTTGCGGCAACTGCTCAACAAATCAAAAACCAAATGACAACGGCAAATAAAAAACGAAACGAGCCGCGAACCACACAACACATCACACAAAACTCGGAGCGGGTCTTACTTGACGGCTGCAGTGTAGGAAAACTCGGAACGAAACCGGAGAGCACACGTCCAAGCTGTTCGCTAGTCGCCAGGCAACTGAGTCGCCTCTCGGCTCAAACTTCATTAGCCACAATGGCTTACCGGGAGAGCCAGCAGCCAGTGGTGTTGAATTAGTTCTGCAAAAAAAGCGAGATAAATGAAACGAATAAGATAATACCCAAGTAATATTTTCAGATAACCTTCTAAGCCTATCAATAATTTGGGCATTAATTTCTTACACCATTTTGCTCGCTTATAGTAAAAAGCATTTAATCTTTTCCTTTTATAGATGTCTGAAAAATGTCATCAACGTCCTTGGTCCTAAAAATGAATCATATGTATCTTAAAAAAAAAAAAAAAAAAAAACATTTGGATATACATAAAGATAAAGTAGCTATAAACTAGCTGAAGCGCCAGCGCTTCAAGGCCATTAGAGCGTGGACAACAGTAGGAGAGCCGAAGGCGCTAGCCAGCCCCTGGCTGTTCACAGTGCATAAATAAACCGACAATTACGAAAGTGCTACATTACAATTTATGGGTATATTTGAACACATTTAAATAAAGTACACAAATATGTATAAAATAACAGCCCAATGTGCCTCCCTTTGGGCATCTCTATCAGAGAGAGTAGCTTTTCCAGGCAAAAAGCTTAAAATTGAGAGGCAGTAAATTGTGGTAAAAGGATCATATTCTCCATGGTACAATTATACAAGGTAGTCTCGTCGGCTGCCTAATCGTTCGGCTTTTTAGTCAGTGCGTTCGTGCTTGTTGAAGGATGAGCACGCGTGCGGACGAATTTTTTCAGAGTATTAACCCTTGTGCAAAGATGTCGTTCTGCCCTTGGCTGCAAACTTTTTTTTGTTTTTTAACATGTCGTTTCAGATAATTTTAGTGTAACAAAAAATGTAAAGGAGAAACTATTAATAGCTACTAAGAAACATTAACTTAGATATTACAAAAATTTACTTTAATATTGACATTTATTTTAAAATTAAGAACCTAAACAAGAAAATAACTATCCAAAAATAAAAACAACGTTTAATTTTAAATTCAAAACTATTAAAAATTAATTTATTAAAAACTTCAACTCTTTTTTCTATAAATGAGCAATTTAAGCCCCATGCGCCATCTAAGGGTTAAGCAAAAAGCTCCTTTGTCGTTTCACTCGCACTTACTACGCAGACTCCTCTCACTCGCACTTGTGGTGAGTAATGAATAGGGGAGTGCTTTTTGCCGACGAGACTACCTTGTATAATTGTACCATGATATTCTCTTCCTCTCTTTCGCTCTTCTACGAAGATAACAATCAGCCGGTATGTTTGTCTCATGACTAAAATGAAAAATTGTGGGAGCGCAAAATCTTACAAGCAATTATGCAATCTTGTCTTCGTCGATGTTTTTTTTTTTGCCGCTATTGTTGTCAAAACAAACATTTATGTAATTGCACTCGCTGTCAGCACGAACTGATCGTTCTCAACACCGGGGAAGTATTATTTAAAATTCGGCTAAATGCAACAGATGTTATGGATAATTGCAAAACTTACGGTACTTGCACTTCCGCCAGAAACCGTTCCTTTGCTGTTCATCTGGACCATTTTTATAGAACTTGGAAACCTAGAAAACAAAAGTACCGCCCGTGAGCCCAATTTCACACCTCTTGGTTCCGCGCGTGCTTGGGCATTATTCACTATGTTCCTTCTTGTTAGTTTTCCAAACCAATGGTCATCTCATCATTACATGTGTGCTGACCATAGTCTTTCCGAAAACGGTAAATGACGTGCAAAATAAATGCAACCAACCGGGCGTACTAATTAAATTTGCTTATTTCACCTTAAGTGTTCTGTTATTACTTAGTTGCCTCGTTTAGAGAGGAATACTTAGCGGGGGCCAGGGGTAATAATAAAATAAACAGAAATAGCAATTATAAAAAATTATACCACTTTCACTAAAATTAAGTTCGGAGCATTTCATTCCCCTGCTGCACTGCGGCATTGACGATCTGGCAACTTTGACATGTCAAAAGGGAAATTAAGAAAACCTTTCTATTGTCGTCTCGCTCGCTCACAACGGAATGTGTGTTTTCAAGAACCAAAAATAAATTACATAATTATTTTTTTGATTTCACAGATATTTTAGGTGAGCACAATACGCATTTATAGGCCGGGAAGTGTGCAATATAGTTAGAAAAAAAAAACATATATATTGACGCACAACCCCGCCTGCAAATGTTTTTGTGCATTTGCATAAATAATTGATGAATAGCCAGTGCATTACTAGGCCGGTAAATGTGCAATATGCTTAAAAATCCGCATACTGGCGCATCTTCCGTCCAAACAACTGTCCGGAAACAAATAAAAAAAAAAATAAAAAAAACACTCTTTTCGTCGTTCTACGCCAATTTTATAGGCCGGGACCAGTGCAATACGCAAATAAAAATCGCATTATCACTGTCCACGGCTCAGAATTTTGGGTCTTGCTTAGATGTTATAAATTTAAAGCATTTCGGCCGTCTCAAGTGCAATGCTAGCCATAAAGTTAATTTAGTATTGCCACCCAAGACGACCGAAACACTCGAAATTGGTTTTCCCGATTTAATTAAAACTTGCAAACTTTAGCAGGGAGTTGCCAACATTTCCAGGCTGGGAAATGTGCAATACCTTAAAAAATAGGTATTTGCCCAAGCCACAGCCTTGAATTGTTGGCAGTCGTATTTTTCGACCACTCGCCACAATTTTCAAAATCAGAATGCCGGACAACGATCCCGAAGAAACGAAGGCGACAAAAAAAAAAAAAAAAAATTGAACAAAAAGGAATGCAATTATCGGAAAGGGACGGCAATAGGCACTGGAGCGGCAAAGCAGTTGAACTTTCGATGTGTGGAGATTTAAAGATGAAAAAGAAAAAAAAAAAGCTTAAATTCTGGGAAAAATAGTAATTGTTAATAGGAATTTGGACATTTTACCTTACAGTACAATAACAGTTTGTTATTGATTTCCATTTTTCTTGGAAAGTAGACCTAAAACTTTCATGTAAGATTATAGCGAACTCTTTTTTAGAACGAATTGTAGTTTCTAGCAAATTCACTGGTACTTTTTTTTTTAATACGTGTCTAAATTTGGCGCGAGGCACAAAATATGTAAATATTTTTAGGTATACATACATTCAGTACATACAGTAAAAGTATAATTTGTTTTATTTAGCTAGATTTTAAAATTTTGGATTTTCCGACTTCCATTTTAGAAATTTTATGGATGACTAAGCAAAACTGCATTTTAAGGTTATGACACTTCAGTTTTCTTTTAAGATTCGTAGTTTTTTTGAACTCGATTATTTTATATTATTTTTACACGATCTAAGAGTTTGTTTTTAATATTTATAATATTTAAGTCCGTTACGCAGATTGCTTAAAATTAACAATTACTGTCGCAGCCGACTTATATACTACTAAAACATTTATGATATATTTTTTTTACTTGGATTTTAAATTCAGATCCGAAATTTTCCAATCTCCGGCTTTATTACGGCACTATATTCGGTAGTAAAGCCCGGGATCCGAAAAGCCCGAGTCTACCGTGCTTGTTTTTACGTTTCTCAGTAAAATATTTCTTTAAGTATAAGGGCCCAGCACCGTGTACTTTAATCAATTATTAAAAAATTACACGTATCTGGGCCCGACATACTTAAAAAAAAAAAACCAATTAAATTTCTGGAGCTATTGCCTTTGCAGGTCCTTCTTAGTGGCCGGTCAAAGCGGAAAAGAAATAGCTGACTGATTTCAGTGAACTCGAAATCTTCGCGACAGTGTTGCAAGTCGACCTTTAAATTCCTCAAAATGGGGTCAACAAAATGGCTTAGGTTGCTATAAAAATAAATACATGTGTATGTATGTATTTGGCTAAACTGCTTAATTCGAAGAAACCTATCAAACATAACCTCAACATTTGAATCTTGAAAAAATATTTTATTTTACTCGGCTATTTTCGCCTATTTTGGCCATTAATTTGAAATGAATATGAAAATTTAATGATGAAAGTAAACTTATTCGAACAGCAATTAATTTTACGTTAACGTTATTGAACAACTATTACGATTGAAGATATAATAGGGTAATTTTCTCAATTTTGTATTAGCGGGATATTTTTAATGTACATATATATTACAAAAGTTTTTTATGCAATTTTAAAAAGAAGCGCTCAAATCTTACTAATACCTACAAAACAAGTTTAATTAAAATGTTAACTAAGAACACCAGTACACCCATTTTGTATAAAACCCCAATTAGAAATGCCAAAATACAACAGCTGACAACATGTTAATTATTAAATGTATTTTCCTTTGCCAAATACGAATTGTTTATTGCCTGGTCCAGCTCGATCAACTGGGGCTTCAAGTCCTTGTACTGGCATAAATGCAGTTCTATTTTGGCGGTCAGTTTAACTCGCTCATTTTGCACATTTTGCAGGCGTTCACGATTTGCAATGCTTTTGAACATACCAATCTAAAAGAAAATAAGTTTGATTTGATAAAAGGGCAAAATATGTGAATATGCGTGTATGTACCTCAAGCTCCTTTGCCTGAGCTTCAAGTTGACGCTGCATAAAATACAGGCTAAAATCCAGATTTCGCATGCGCAGCGGCCTGGTTAGTTCTTCGGGGGAGATGTTGTTGAATTTCCTAATGAATACAAAACCTTTTAAAAATGTTATAATCGTTTATAAGGCGTCAACTGACCAATTCTTTCCTTCGTAGGCAGCAAAATGTTCCTTTAGCATCTCTAATGTAATCAGTTTGTTTTCCACATCATTGCTTGCGAAGAAACATTTATTCATTTCGTGCACGACTTTTGTCATACGGCTGCTAGTGTTATTAATTAAGGACTCGGTATCCAAAGAAGAGTCCTCATGTTCCTCGAAAATAGTTGCCCATGCATCCAGGTCAGAAGGACTAAATTGTAAACAATTATTAACAACTAATATATTCTTATAAAGAACATCTTGCTTACCTCAAGTCAGAAAAAATTTGACCAATCGCTTCATCGTAGGCCTGCTTCACCTGGGCACCAATCCCCTCGTGACGTTTAAAGGCAGCTTCGGTCTCTTCTGCCGACATTGTTTTTTAAGAAATTTCAATTTAAAAACAAAAACATTAGCCACGCCAGAAAAGGTGTGACCAGTTGAGAGTACTAAGTAGACCCACTTATCGATATGAGACTTTGTCTTTGTGACAACCCTGTTATCGCAGACGCAAAACCATTTCTTTCACAAGCGGTTCAAAACCAAATAAAATAAACTAGTCATGAAGCAATGCAAATAGACTAGCAAAGGGGAAAATACAGCTTTTACTTGCTAATAAATTGTAACCACCTACTGGTAAAATATTTTCTCTCGATTCCAGGTTCTGCAAAAAATTAAGAAGTTTTAAAGTTCTTTTTTTACTTGACTTTATTTTAAATGGATAAAAATTACGAAAACAATAAAATACAAACCGAATTTTTTAAGTAGCAAAAGTTGACTAGTGTGAAACGGAAAATAAATCGATTCCACACTATCGATAACATGCTTAAACGCCATTTTGCTATTCCTCTCTAACTTTTTGTGCATTTTAACTCTCGTGTGTTTGTGCTATACATATTTTAAATAATATTTTACCAGCCAGCGTTAAGTGGCAAACAAAAGCGTGTTGAATAACGATTGAACAATTGAGTGTATCGAGTGTGGATTGAATTTGGAGGCAGCAGCGCAATAGGAGGCGAAAAAAAACAAAGGCGATAGGTGAGTTTTTCTTTTTTTTTTGCCTGGGGACGCGAAAAAAACGAATTTGCGAGGCAAATAAACCAGGCTAAAAGCAGTGAATGTGTGTGCTCGTGCAGTGTTGTGTTTTCTTAATACATTATCTTCTAAAAATTTCGCCAATACATACAATAAAACGTGCAAGACGATTTTCCTCGCATTTTTGGTGTGATCCAACCCCCCACTCCACCCCCCAAAATCGTTCTTTTGGCTTCGGCGCTTCACTTTTACAGTTCTTTTTTTTACAACCACCAGGGCACACAGAAATATTCCTAGCTCTCTTTTGCTCTCCCGCCAGTGTCGGCCTCTCTTTCACTCGCACGCGTGCCGGCTTTTAAATGAAGTACAGAGTCGTCGTTGTTTTTGTTGTTTTGTCTTTGGCTCATCCAGTTTAGTCGCTTGTTTTGATTTTCTGCTTTTCTCTTTTTTCTTTGCATTTTCTTTTGTTTTTTTTTTATATCTCCACGCGGTTACCGGTGCATATAATTTCATTATAATTTACAAAGATAAAATCAAAACAAAATAGTTTCGTTACCCCCAAAAACAAAACTCCCACGCTGCGGCGAGAGTTCAACGCTCGGCAACTTTTTACAAATAAGGAAAAGGCCTAACCTATATTTTATTCATAGTTTGGTCCCCATTGTTGTTGCTTGAGCATCAATCGATGAGGGAGAAGAAGAAGAAATGACTAGAAGAGGTTAATAAGAGAGGCAAACAGACAAATACTTATTCAATAGGAGTTGATTGTTGTTGTTGGTTGGGTGCAGCTCATTACCACTTATTGCTTCCCTCTTTTTTTGCACTCCCCCCTTGGTTATATTTCTCCACTCATCCTTCAGTCTTCGCGCCTCCCTCTCCATTGATTTAAACCCAATGGCATTTGGAGCTTTTTAGTCACAGCTCTCTTTTTACCCATTCTTCCCAGCAATTCTGCAAGTCGTAATTCTAAAACTTTTGCTTTTCGTCTTCTTTGGCTGACGTATCTCCTTTGTCTTTGTTAAGATTTCCAGTTTTGTGCAAAAATCTCGCTTTTATTTGCCTTGTTTGGCTGAGTTATTTTCGTGTTTTTCTAGCATTTTTTTTGAGTGAAGCAATATGAAAGACATTGAACTGAATTCTCGCGTAAATGCTGTACAGTACAGATCGGTAAACAATGAATGACATTATTGTTAGTAAATCACGGACGATCACCTATAAAAATAAATTTATGTGCCTGTCAAAATTTCTATGACACAAATATTTGGCTTTGGGTTGGAAAAGATTTTGGTGACACATCTGAACTGAATGGAATTTTTTGGATTTAAATTTACAAATATGTATATTTACACTGAAATATCCGGAGCCGAAAAATCAAGAAATATATATTAAACGCGAGTTATGGTTTTAGTCACGTTTTTGTTTTCGTAGACTAAACCTTCCTTTGCACTACTCAACATCTATTGTTTTGTAATAATTAAGTAAGATAAAGGTTTTTGTAATTACCAACGAAAGTACAGGAGCGTTCCTATGAGCTTTTTTTTTGAATAGATGGATAATGCTACTCCCTAAATTTGTGGTATAAAAAGCACTAGTCCTTTACAAGGAAAGCAAACAAAGCAAAACAAAATGTATTTTATGTTGCCTTACTATTAAATCAAAGAGTTACATATAAATTCTTTTAATTCTTACGACCATACTTTTGACGATACATATTTTGCAGCTAAATTAGCGAAGCTTACAATTTGTCATCGATGAAAACTGAACATGACAAGTATCGTTGTTCCAGTTTTGCTCAAATCATGTTGCCAAATAACGGGAAAATGTAATATTTCTGTTGTTTTTTCTCATGTCTGTCGGCCTATATTCATGGTTTCAATTTATTCTGTGATGTTTTGTTGCTAAAAAATGTATGCTGTTCGCCATACTTTCAATGCAATAACATGGGCAAATGAAATAAATAATAAATAAAAAATAGTTTTGTGTAGCTGCAATTGTGCAGCAATTGGTAGTGGGTTGTAGGTTGCTTTGATGTTATTGATTTCCCACATGAATCTGTTTTCTGGTTCAAGCACAGTCCACAAAAATCTCGACAAACTTGGCCCGCATATAGGTGAATTTAATACATTTTCCCTTGTTAAATGGGCTGGTTATCTATGCTGGTTGGCCGCTAGAGAAATGTTTATTTCTGACCTCACAAGAGCCATTCAATGGTAATCTCTTCTCGCTTCTCAATCGCATTCGCAAAACATGTTCCACTCAATGATTTTCGATAGCTTTTGTCTCGAATGACAGACAAAATATGCTGGAAAGAAATATTTGTATGCAAATGGCAAAAAAAAAACACTTTAAACACGTTTCGTATTCAAGCAAGTTTTATTGATTTTCAAACCTTGACTGGAATTTGTATTGCCGTTGGACAATTCTTATGTTTCCAATTAATTAGCTAACGATGGATAGTCGAGAGATGCAATTGACAAACGCATAGCTAGATAAAGCCAAAGCAATAAAAGAAGGAACAAGAATAAAGTTGGGAATGTAGGTGGAAAGGGTAAAAAGAAAAGTACTTTTCAATCGAAGCCTTTTAATAATGCAACAACTTCTAGGGTTGGTCTATTGGGGTGAGGCAACTGCACTGAAAAAAATTAGAAGACCATAAAAATTACATAATAATAAAAATTGAATTGCTAATTAAAGTCAATACATCCCCTTTATGTGGTTTTTATCTTGTTATAAATAATTATATTTTAATAATTATTATTTTAAAATTGTTATGAAACATTTATCTATATGAAACATAAATAACTGATGTTGAACATTAAACATAGCCTGAATTTGTATTATTACAGTTACTTTCTTTCTGTGCATAAGGCAAGGCGTACTGTAGTTATCAGACTGTGGAAGTTGGCCAAGAATATAGCAGGAAGACCGAACAGAACTGAACAAAACAGGATAGCCTAGACAATGCCTGAATAGAATACTACGGCGGGATAGAGAAGCAGGGCAGCAACCACTACATGGCACACGCCATAAGCACATTAGTTATTAGCGCTGGGACCAGCTGAACTCCCCATTTTCCCCCATTCCGCTCTGGTTAGGGACACACGCGATGGGAGGACTTGGTGGTCTATTCACTCGCTCGGTCGGTTCGCTAAGCCCGCTGACATGTCCATAAAAGCCTTGAAGTGGACAGGCCACAAAACACAAACAGGACATACGAATACACACGCATCGCGAGGGCGATGAGAATTGTCAATTGTATGCATTTCCGCTTGTGGCCCCCAACTTTTGTGGCCATATCCTCAACCTGATTCCTTCCTCTGGTGGCGAGCTCTTTTTCCTCGTTTTTTTGGTTAGACATGACGTCCATTAGCTGTTTTTCCGCTAAATTATAGAGTTGAAACGCATACACCCGCCGCCCAATTACGCTGGCAAAAAGCAAGACAGCCAAGTGGAATGGGACAGGAGGGCTTTAGGCGTGAACACACTCTGTGTGTGTGATAGATACCAACGTGATACAACTGCCGAACCGAATTTGTTTAAATTAAATATTATCTAAGTGCACACACAAGTTTCCAAGGGTTTTATTTTTAGAAATTAAAGAAAAAATAGTTTGGTATTCAAAACAAACTAATAACATCTAATAGTGGATTAATTTTGAAAACATTGAGTATCAGATGTTTCAATTATGTAAACAACAAAATATGTCTCTGTAGAACTGTTTCCTTTGTTCGTTTTTGAAATTCTCGATAAATTTCTTAATAAAATGTTTGGCAAAACACTTGTTTGTTTTAACATAAAATCTCTATTCTAAACAATTTCAGGAACATAGTCGACATTAAGTTATTTACTTTAGATTTGTGTATAAGGTTTAATCAATAGGCGAGTTCAATAAGTCATCGATAATCTTGTCTTATTTAAAGGATTTTTTAAATTATTGTTGTTGTTTCTTTAGGGCTTCGGATATTAACTTAAACATGTATGTTGTGTAATCAAAAGTTAATATAATTACAAGGGTATACACAACTTCAGCTTGCCAAAGCTTACTTCCTTTTCGGTTTATTTTTTTTCCACTTTTGGTGGGTAGCCACAAGCCGCGTTTTCATGTGGTTTGCCACGTCTCGCTGGACATAAACTCTCCAAATGTTCCCCTTTCGCCAGCCCCTCCCCCTTCCCATTTCTCCATTATTTTGTTTTTGTTACCTGCTCATGTTGTTGTTGTTGTTGTGTTTGTGTTTTTGTGGCCAGCCAACCCACCTGCGTATTAGTGTATTGGCCTGAGGGGACACATGCACGAAAAAAAGTTTCAAGCGCTCACCTGGCCGGCCAACTTAAATTATTGTTCTTTATTGTTGTTGTGGTTGCTTTTGGGCGGGTGGATCGGTGGGTGGGCTTTTGGGTTATGGGTTTTGGGTGGTAGGTTGGTTGGCT